CTGACGAAACGTTCTGCATGAACCTCCCGGCATCTGAGGTGATTTAGCACACTGTATGATTACACGGTATCAGTGGAGTCGGAACGGCAGCGCAGGGGCTTGTTATCGTCAGAGGTGGTCCCGCCTGGCGAGGTGTTAGAAGGAAGACCGCCGAGTGTCGGTGGACGCGTGAGCCCGTCCGCGGTAATCCGAACATCCCATGACGGCCGGCCGGCCGCCGCGCCCCGGCCGATAACGGTCATACCGGGGATTTACTCCGGACGCCCGCGCCGAGGAAAATTGAGCCGATTTCGGATTAGTCTTCTGCGCCGGCGAGATGTCATTTCCGTGAAATCAGCAGCCGCTTTCCGCAAAAGATTCGGACCGTTCACTGCGACGTAAACTATGCTTTAATGGATGCGTGAGGTGGACATAAATGTAATGAACTACCGTGGTCTGGAGGAAAGATTTCCAATCCGGTTGCATTATTGACTGTTTGCAACAATCACCTATTTCCCGTGCAGCAAAAGAGGCCATAAACTAACCATGACATTCACCTCATTAATCACTGCACCAGCCGGCCCCCCGCCCCTCTCTAGCCTACTCCACAGCGACCATTGTGCACCACTTAGTGAATACACCGGACTGATTCTCCCTCCCCTCCCACCACCGCCCCGCCCCGCCTGCCACTATCTCCTGTCCCGTCACATGGCACGGGGCTAACAAAAAAACTAGCCCCGCCCACTCATGAATAACCATGGCACCGATCTAACGAGCCGACGGCGGCAGCCAATAAGCGTCGGCGGCGGCGGACGCACGCACGGGCCACGCACAAACACGCGCATGACGCCATGCCGGTCGATGGCGGCCAACCAGAGACGGCGGCGGCGGTGGAGGGGAGGAGGCAAACAAGGGAGGAGAGGAGGGAGACGGTGTGATTACTGGGACGGAGAGGTGGGAGGAGCGAGAATGAGAGAGAAGGTGCAGAACGGACGGCGGTTGGTGGTCAGGGGAGACACTGTTGGAAGTGGGAGAGTGAGGGTGGAGAGAAAGAGAGAGAGAGAGAGAGAGAGAGAGAGAGAGAGAGAGAGAGAGAGAGAGAGAGAGAGAGAGAGAGAGAGAGAGAGAGAGAGAGAGAGAGAGAGAGAGAGAGAGAGAGAGAGAGGGAGACTGAGAGAGAGAATGTGCCATGCTTTGTAAGAATGCCTACCTATCTGCCTATCCAAATATCTATCTGCCTGTAGCTACGCCTGGCTGCAGTTACCGGCGCATACCTGTAGAACTGCTGTGGAAATGCAATTGATATTGCATATGCTCTAAAATATAACATGCTTTCAGCTGGCATTTCAGACGTTTCTTTTGGATACCTTGTTAGTCGAGAAAACGGTAACCGAGATATACAATCGCCTCGCATGACCTCTAGATCTGTGCAGGTTGATAGTGAACGTGAGATAAATGTTTCTCTGCTGCACCCAGTCGGTAGCTGACATCATGAACGACTCGCCAAACAATAGCCAATTATTGTCGAACGGCTTTATCCGGCAATAATGCCAGCATTGCTTTGGACACAAACCGATACGTAAGCGCCACCGCCTTTCGATAACAGTAATATCCGCATGCCTGGCTCATTTACAGCAGAAGCTGAATGCCGTCATCGGGTGAATTTCTGAGAAAATCGCCAAACTATGTCCAGCTGAGGGGGCTCGTTTGTTCCTTGTTCCGCGATCCAGCCCAGAATACCACACAGCTGACTGGTGATTGGTCTGCAGTCGGACGATTTTTGCGTGTATGTTTTCCTGCGGCGTACTGGTTGGGTACCGTTAGCCGTCGTCTGGACCTGTCTGCCAACGGGACGGTGCGCCCGTGTGTATTGTCTACGTGGACAAACAGGTCCCAGGTTGTCGGGTTCATGGTCGAACTCGGCGCAGCGGCGTGCACTAACAGCTTGGGCCGCACCTTGCGCGAAATGAAACAATCGGTGTGTCAGGACTGCCCGGTTTAGTTGAGGAGCATCGACGCGAGGCCGTGCCACTTGCCAGTTCGTTCAGCATTGTGATTTAGCGTGAGTTTGGGACATGAGTGACAAATTCCCATCCCCGGGAACAGATCCGAATGTGGTATGAGTTTCACATGCTGCGACCATACGCATGAGCGCGGCCGGCGGTGCTGTGCCTCTGTGAGCTGCAATGTGCTCCGCCCAGCGTTAAATTGCCGAGATTGGCGTGACGGGCTGGTTATGTTAGTGGCGTCACGCTGGGAAGACGGGCGTGGAGCGTCGCCTGCCGCGTCACCGTCACAATTTCCGACACCGTTACCGTCTCTGTCTATGTCTAGGTATGCCTCCGTCTATGTCTCCGTTACCGTCACCATTACCGTCACCAAGTCACCAAGGGAGCGGTGCCTTGATATAAGCACAGAGTGCTTTTGCACCGCCCTGCATATCTTGTTTGATACTTGTTTTGTTCGCAATACATGATGATGATGATGATGATGATGCTGATGATGATGATGACCGTCACCGTTGCCATCTGTCTCTGTCTAAGCCTAAGTTACCGTCACCGTTACCATCTCCGTCTCTGTCTATGTCTATGTCTCTGTCTCAGTCACTGTCAGTGTCACCATTATCGTCATCGTTACCATCCCTGTCTCCGTCTCTGTCTCCGTCATCGTCACCATTGTCGTCACTGTTACCATCTAAATCTCTGTCCATATTTATGTCTCTGTCTCCGTCAACGCCACCACGGCTATACCTCCATCATCATCACCAAAATCGTCACTACCACCGCCACCGCTGCCATTGCACCTTCACTCGATATCTAATCACTACCTTCCCAGCTCTCCATAGCCCGGACACACCGCACCACAAAGCCGTTGACACAAAGCAGTTCACAGACGGCGCGAGATGCAACCCAACGTTCATGTCAGGAGGGAGTCTGTGCAATTTCCTGTTTCGGGGACCATCCCTTGGGATCATGCAAGAAGAGATGTTAGAGTTACATCTGTCTGCATCTAGCGTTAGGATAATACTGTCAGGCAGAATAACAGCTGTTTCCACTGCTGTCAACCGGAGGATATCAGGAAAGGTGGGACAATGGTTTATCAATATAGGGTGTCAGTCGTTGTGTCATACTTTCTGCCATGTCAATCCTTATGCGCTGCTCTATTCTGTCTGTGTCAGCCTTTGTGTCAGGCCCTGCAGCTGGGCGTGTCAGCAGCTGTGTCAGTCACTGTGTCAGTCACTGTGTCACGCGCCGTCCGGCTGTGTCAGACTCCAGCTGTCCGTGTCAGCCGCCTGTGTCAGCCACTGTGTCAGGCTCCATCTGCACGTGTCAGCCGTCTGTGTCAGCGACTGTGTCAGGCTCCATCTGCCCGTGTCATATGCTGTGTCAGGCGCCGTCCGGCTGTGTCAGGCGGCGCCATGCGTGATGCACGGAGCAAACAGGCGGGCCGGCGGCGAGAAAAGTCAATAGGAGCCGCCGCTGGCGACGGCAGCGGCGCGGCGCGGCGGCGGCGGCGGCGAGGTAATTTCAACTGCGTAGAACGGTGCCATGACAGACACACCGCCCACGGCCCAGGAGCTGCCACCGCGGCAGGTAGCACCAGAATTTTATTAAAGTATCGCCCAAATGCCTACATCACCCGTAATGCCCGGTTGACGTTCAAGACCCGTACGAAGCATCTCATTCTGCAGGAGCAAACTCAGTGGCTCAGCGTTGAATAGGTGGCAAATGGGCGGCGGCCGTAGCTTGCCCAGGGATTACGAGCCGTACTTTACGGCTGACGGTGTATGGAAGACATGACTCGTGTGAGCTGGGGAGTGGATGTGAGAGGACGGCCCGATGTCGGCACGGAGTGCAGTGGATGCGAAATATTCCTCTCGAATGCAGAATGTGGATCCCAGAAACATGTTTGATTAAACATTAAACAAATAACACAAATTTCATAAATTTAGTGCGAAGGTATGATGAATACCAGGCATTTCTTTCATGAGTTCAATTTATATAGCTCAGCACGGGTTATCGCTGATGCTTTCTACCGGCATTGCATTCTCCGGAAGCAAATGTTTTGCGGTACAGTCTAACTAAAACTTTGCAGGCGGCAGCGGAGTAGCCGTGAGCGTTTCGCCAGAACCTCTGCCGCGCTGACATTTTTCATTTCTGTTAGGATATAATAGCGAATGAAAATTAAAGGAACGAGGCAAATGACAAATTTGGATATCAGAAAAACATGTTGAAAATTGTAGCAACATTTAGCGACACTTAGGAATCACGTAAGATGGGAAGTGTGGTGACATGTATTAGCCAGAGTTTTGAAAAGGGCCAGCTGGCCGTTTTCCGGTGAAGAGAAGACGGCAGCAGGCAAGTAGCGACATAGAAACCCCTGTATTAATCAAACCACCGATGCGGCTATTACGTTTCCCCCATAGACTGTAATCAGGAAGTGAACTGAAGGGGTTAAGGGTAATTTAACACCTGACGAGCGCATCTTTGGCCGATGACCCTTTCGCAGGCTCGGCAGAAAAAACTCGCAAGCGGGATGCGCGAGCAAAAAACGGGCGTGTTCAAAGGGGCGCAGGCGACGCGTGAAAAAAGAGCTGGCCGGGGAGGAAAATGTGGCCGGTAACGACCAGGTTCTCCGCGCCTGGCTACCCCGGGGACGGAGTGCCGTCCGTGGAGGGTCCCCTGACCCTGACAGGACACTGTGACCCTGACGGACCTGGAGGACACCGGTCCGCCGGATACTGGACCCCCTGCAGCACGGCAAGGGTACGGGTGGAGCGGCCCGCCCGGACGATTGGGCTGGAGACGGAGGTCGTCGAGGGTTGAAGTTCGGTGTGATTGCTGATGCCAACGTGAAATCATAGTCGACCTATGTAACAAGGTGTCCCTTCGATCATGTTTTTCAATTTCCCTCAAGAATACTAACGCCAGAAAAATACACATCACGATAAATCACCACAAGCAATCACCATTCGCCAATCCATTTCAGCCCAGCTGAACTTCCAGCTCCTTCTCACCCACCTTTATGCTCAGTCCTGGCGGCTGCTCTGTCCCCTGTTGGTCCTGCAACAACAGAGTTGTCGGCCGTCAGTGCCGAGCTCCGGTCTCTCGGAGTGTGTCCCGCTCCACCACCGTCGGCCGCTAGTCGACCTGTGAGCCCCCCAGCGACGACCGGCCGGCCGGCGGTGCCGCGGCGCCGGCGCCACACGCGCCTCAGCCACGGTCAACGCACCTCGGTTGCAGCGTTGCAGAGTGCGCCGGTCAACATCGAGCCCGACGCGGCGGCCGACGACCGGCCATGGCGCGCCGTCGGCGGCCCGGCGTGCGGCCGCACGCGCCGGCCGAGTGGCACGCGGGCGACAAGGCGGGGTGGAGGGGTGAGGTGAGGTGGAAAGGAGGGAGGGGAGAGGAGGGAGGGAGGTGATACCACGGGGAGCCGCGCCCGTCGACAGGCATGCCGGGGCGAGTTTAACGACTGCGTGGGTGTGTGTTACTGGGACCGAAGCAGTTTCGTCGGTGTCTGCAATACGCCAACATGAGTCGATAGGTGAGGGTATAGGCACTTGGCCGGATCAGCACTGAACTGGCTTCACCTCGTGGGGAGGGGGGGGGGCGACACTGAGCCGCAGGTTCGTCCCAGAGCGCGCCGTTCGATCGAACACGTGCGCTCGGCTCATCGCCGTGCTCTTTCCGGCGCGGCGGCTCTCTGTGTGATAAATGTGAGCCATTCTTCGGCCACGGTCACGGTTACCCCTCTCCCCTCATCCCCATCGAGTCGTGATGACAGAGACCAGACAGTGGCGGTGGGAGGACCGCCAGTCAAAGGCTCCGGACCGGAACGGGCAGGGATGACACGTCAGGGAGGAAGAGGGGAGGCTCGACCAGACACCAACATTAGTGTCGGGGGTCCGAGCCGGACGGATGGAGTCGTGCCGCCAGTCGTATACACTGGCGGACATGTCCCATCACGGGTCATAGATCCACCGCCAGACGTCATGAATAAGTGACAGCGACACGGCGGCGGTCGCCATTTTGTTTTTGCACCGTTGCCATGGACCGGAACCCAAATACAGAGCAGTATTTCTTCCGGCGCAGCGCGGACATTTTTTCTGTGCGGTGCCTTTGAGGGAGTGACAGCAGAAATTATCAGATGATTACTATGCCATGACATAAAATAACATTTCGGCGACCCGTAGCGGACGTTTGGACTGCGTTTGTAGCCTACAGCGGGCTCCAAATGTCGACCCGCCAGCGACTTCCTCGAATCCAAAATCGATCAAACTCGGTTGCATGTTATGTCCACTTGAATCCAGACGCTATTCGTCAAAACGGAACAATGCTTAATTCGAAATGTAAATGAGTTTTGTTTATGAAAATGCTTGCGAAACACACAAGCTGGGATGATGAGATGTCACTGACACGCGTACAGGACTTTGAGTGTTTGATAACGACGATAACCGGCCGGCCGCCGCCGACAAAGTCGGATAAGAACGTTAAAAATACATACGTTTCGGCCGACTGTCAGTAATGAGACAAGCCGTCAACATCGCAACGGCACGATAAAAGAATATAGAACACCGTTGCAAACACAGTGATTTACGCAAATTGGAAAGAATTCGGACACATTTGGATGTTTCTACACCTGGCTTTCATGCAGGAATGCCAAGAAGAGCAATAGAGCTTTTAGGACACCAGTGAACCTTTTACTTTCAAAATTTAGCTGTGAACTTTACAATCTTGTTAGAACATCGATAGGATCTATTTCAGGGTACTCAATCCTATAAGACGAATGACCTATGTCGAGTAAAGAAGGTAGCTTCAATCTACATTAGTACACTTATGGCGATTACACAAGGTTTTTCAATGAATGACGAAATAACTTTTTAATAACGCACCGAATGGAACGAATATTATAAATTGCAGTTAAATATCTTTAATTTGATTTTAATATTTTCATAGGTACTGTAGTGTTTGACGCGTGTATGCGCACGGTTAATTGAATGAAGTCGGTCTCGACTTCCGAGTTATTCATCACGCCACTTTCAGGGTTGAGAGTTCGTTCACACGAGCCAGCTCAAAGACAGATGGCGGAGGGAAAAAATCGCCGGCTGGATTAGCCCAGCCCGCATTTCAGCCGTGTAACACAATATGCTTTTTTATGCAGCAGCCCCGCCAATTTTCAGTCATGCCCATTCAACCCTTCCCCATAAACTGTTGGGACAATTGGTGCGTACAGCCTGCATCTCAGCCCTCCCCACGCTCCTGACCGAAAAAATAACCACGCGTTTTTTGCTGCCTGTTTTATTGCGCTCTTTACCTCGAAATGCTGTAAAAAGCACTCGCCCGGGAGGATAATTGTGTAGAATAATGGGGAGCCAGGCCAGAGGAACGAGTTACCGATTGCCTGTTGTGAGATAAACGCATCCTTGGCGGTGCTGTTTTATGGCTGGACAAAAACGACACGGCTCTGCGGCCGTCCGGTGGGGCGGCGATCGCGCCGGTCGGGCCGAGCGGACAGGATGTCTGCGGCGTCCGGACAGCGCCGGACAGCGCCGGACAGGAGGCGCCGACCGTCACGGGGTCACCGACCCGCCGTCATGTAAAGAGCATGTTTTACGGCGACAAAAGCGCCGGATATTGTCTTAGTGCACGCACTGATCGATGTCGTCAGCGCGGTGGATGACGGTGTATAGCCCGGAAGCGGTATAAAGGCGAAGTGAGTGGGAGTCACAGGCTCTTGAAGGACCTCTGTGTGATAACGAGCTTTACAACTCTCCCAGAGCGTGAAAGGGCAGGGAATAAGCCAGACGAACGGCCCGAAGAGGCAACGTTACGGATAGCTGACGAAAGCTCAGTCGATATAGCAAATCAGGCGGCTATCAGCGTCTGCAGAGGTGCATTTTTGCACGATGCCGCTCACGCGAAGGTCGCCTGACCTGGCGAGCGGGACAACGGCGGCGGAATTTCCACTCCACTGACCCCACAGGCTGCGCGCAGTGTTTTCCATGGCGATCGTGCCGCTCGTGATCTCAGAAAAGAGCTGAGTAACTTGGCGACGTCAACCAGCCTCGGGCCTGCCCTGCATCGCTGCATCATTTGCGACAGCGGAGGCGGTGAGCCTCTGTTTGTGCATCTTGCTGACTTCATCTGGACGGCTGGCTTATAGTCAGCCTACCTCCGAGAGGCTGGTATGACGAAATGCATCTCGTTCTGCTTCAATTCTCCACTCTCACTTATTAGAATAAATGCTTATTTCAAATCCACTAGACCCACATTGGAGCCAGATACACTGACTGGACACGAACTTCTACATACAAACCACCACCGTCACCAGCTTTCATGTTGAGATGGAAAGATAAGATAAATTAAGGAGCACCTGGCCTGGCTCGCAATGGATTTTAGATAACGGAAGTATGACATTTTTGCGTCATAGCGTCATATGCTGAGACACGTTTGACGTTAATTAGTCGAATCATACATCACAGGGATGAATTGAGGATTAACAACGAAGCGAGTCAGGACCATTCGTGATTGTGACTACTTGATGGGCCAATATTGAGATATGATATTTCCGTGACCTTTCGTGGGTTTGAAAGGCAGGAAGGCAGGAACTGGTGGCTTCTTATGGACCAACACTTAAAATCATTGCTTGAAATCATGGACAAAACTTCTGCCCTTTTGTGGCCCAGCATTTGCGGCAATTTGTGAGTGAGGACCCGCTTTTGTAAGTGAGGATCCGTGGCATTTTGTGTGCGAGAGCTGGCGCCGCTTTTATGGGACTGCGCGTGCTCATAAGCGTTACGCAGCGGAGGCGACTCGACTTTCCAATCTGTCTGCAGCTGACCTGTATTTAGGTCAATCGATCGGCGCACCTGACCCGGTGACCTGCACTCTGCACAGGTCACCTGTGCGTGCACACCTCTGTGCACGGCGTCACTCAGTGCACAAATCGGTGCACGACGCGTGAAACGTCAAAGATCGAGAGGAAGCCAAGGCCGAGCTGCTGAAGGGAGCTTGACGTGACGGTTAAAAATGGAAACTTGCACGCGAATCTCCCTGCATGCTAGTGAAGGGTGCTGTCGTAGGTCATTCGACTCTCACCGATTCCAGATAGGATGCTCGATCCATCAACGTAATTCCTTGGCCGCATCGGTCATCATTTCTAATAGTCAGCAGTAAAACGTCATGAGTGGCTAACTGAGCAGGTTTGCGTTCCCCATGCGTCAGCCAATTACGGACGGGAATGCGGTGCCACCTGAGGCGGGATTCCCCGGCCAATGGCCATCATCTAACCACGTCAAGTCTTTCCAGCCGGGCTCCCGGTGGCGCACCACTGGCGCACAACTCAGTCATTCCAAGAAGGCAGGAATTCTTTTCTGCGGACGATGCGCGCCCATTTCGTTTGCGAACCGAGTGCCGCTCGCTATCTCGCCTCCCCCAGTCGTTGCCTCCCACCCCTCCCCCTCTCCAGAGCGCTGCGCTGCGGAGGAGGCTCACCGCCCGCCACCAGCCGAACCCTGTCCGTGGCGCCTCTGGCGGCAGTGGCAGGAACTAACGGGAGCGAGGGTCGCCGTGAGCTACCGCCTCGGGCACAGCGGAAGGATAGCCATCGGTTTAAAGAGATTAACACGGGGAGACGGAGGAAAAGTTGCGAAAGGAAAGCCGGGCAAGTAGCTCGTGCGAGTCTGTCGGGCATGATGGTCGGCGTTGGATAATTAACGTATTCCGCAGGCAAACAGATGGCATCTTGCTGCACCCAGTCACCGTTAGCGTGCACCCATTAAACGGTTTAAAGGCATTGTTTGTGCTACTCAGTACCTCCTCACATGCAAAAGCAGCAAGGTGAATCTAATTTTTCCTTTTCAAACCACTATCACCATATCTTGTTTGGATCGTCTAGATAAGGGCATTCTTAGGTGCCTAAAATGGATATTTTTCATCGCAGAGACGTCACGTTCGTGAAAAACGCCCACGAAATGCGAGTAAAAGGCGTCACATTTCCAGAATTTCCATGTTTCTGCCGACAACAATAAGCTGCAGCCTAGTGTTCTTCTAAGGACCCCAGCTTTTCCCTAAAGCCTCTGCTGTCTGTCCTTCGCTCGATCGGTCGGTATAGCAGTTGAGCAACAACGAATCGGCGGTGCATAGCAAACGGCTTAGAAAGGGCGGAGCAAGAATGAAAGTAGGTCATCGCACACAATGCTTGTGCTATGTACCTATGCAGTAGCGAGTAGATAGGTATGCACCGAAAATGTGAAGCGATGGAGAGGATTAAACAGACAATAGCTACATAAATTAGCAATTAATTAACAAGTTTGCGATGGGAATAATGTTTTAATGCTAACGCTGCCGCAAGCGATTTCTTCTTTCGAATTGAAATAGTCGAAGGACGAAAATAAGCTGAGAAGCGCTTTAATCCTAGCTTAATCAAATGCCCAAATTTCCTCCAAATTAGTTCGAACCAAGCATGACTGAAATAGCATTTTAACCGTTTTTACTTCATAATGAGCAATGCATGGAATTCTTCTACAAAGTCAATGAAGGTTATAAACCACGATTACTAATTGTTTCTGTTGTATAGGTAGGCATTTAACTTATAAAATAAAATGTAGGAAATAATAAGAATTAGGTATGCGTCTCCAGACATCCAAAAGACACCGCTGAAATAAGTAGGTATTAGTGCAAAAATAGGTTTTGATTACAGATTATACCTGTTAATACCACCTCAAAGAATTTTGACATGTGGGTGCGTATTTTGAGCTTCGAAATATTGTACCAAATTTTTATGTAAAACAAAACCGGCAAATGCATCAAATATTGAGCATAACCGTTATTTTTTCAGCTGTGACTGTTTTAAACGTGACAAACAACATCAGAGAAAGTTGTTGGTGCACTAGCATATAAGTTCATTTAATTATTACCTTTTTATACGCAGACACACTATCGCTGACCTCGGAAACTTCACAAATCAAAAGGAGCGCCCGACGCAACAAATTTCTCTGACAGTCGGGGTGAATAATCAACCCGCTCTTACAGATTGAACCATTCCATAAATCTTAGGCGAATAAATTAGCATGACTAAGTCAAACCAGCTTCGGCACGCGTGTCATTTGACGTCTTTTTCTGGATCAGCCAGCCCGTGTAGAAGCGACTAGCTCAAGCTGGACGTGCCATGGGACGCCATTTTGTTTCCAGTGCCTGCCGACTAGTCGCGTTGTTTAGCAATCCTGGCATCGCAGCTTAGACGCGTCTGTGCAGCCCAATGCGGTTTCGATTGACCACAGGATAAGCGCTTCTGAAGGATTGCGCGCAAACTGAAAAGGCGTCAGAGTGAGGTGTGCTGCCTGCATTCTCAATGCTACCAATGCACCGCGCTAACAATTTCTCGGTGAATGCAGGCTGATGTAGTAAAATTCACCTGTCAACGTGGATCCTTTCAAATAATAATTTGTAAATCGCTTTAAAATCTAAACTGCATGCAATTACTCACATACTTGACACATGCGTGGTGTATGATATTAACAGCCTCAGAACCCTGTGTGCCGAGCTCATTTATGTACAGTGGCGGAATAGCAGGTCCCCAGTCATGTTCTCGGCCACAATTTGCATGCGACTTGTCAAACACCCATCGGCAGACGCGCAGCGCGGGCCAGGTGAGGGTCTCGCCGAGGCGCACCTCAGAGACTGTGCACATCCGGCGTGCACGGTCCGTGTGCACAGGGCGCCGTGCACGGACCAACCAGGACGTTTATGGACGTGAGCGGACCAAGCTGCTGGCCCCTGCTGAGCAGCAGGGCGACTCCCGACCCGGCCGGCCAGTAACAGTTTGTCATCTGCGCGGACACAGCGGGCTGCAGAGCGGGACCAGGGGTGTGGGACTGCCGAGAGTGTCTCGTGAACCATATCCGGCAAACGGTTATGGTCAGCATGACTGGGCCCGTGAGAAGAAAGGTGACCCGGAAAACACCTCAGGGGTATGTCACCCATGTGTCATCGACATTCCAGCAGACTGATGCACCTTAGACCTCGGCATTCATGGGACAAACTGGACAATGCCAAGAATGTCTCGCGACTCTGTTGAGCAACTTCCGCTGGTGGATTTTCCTCGCCGGCGGCTGCAAACTTTGCGTCTGGCTGCCTGCCGTACGTCACATCGCGTGCCACGGGATTCTGGCAGGTCGTCCACAGCAGCGGCAAATGCAGCACCGTCGTCTCCCGACATTCGCTGAAGTGTCCACCTCAAGTGAAGGGCTCCAGCAGCCGTCAACCGCCGGGGAGGAGCAGCGGATGTCACGTTCTCCAAGAACGGTGTGCAGGTCATCACACTGCATTAGTTGACCGCCGAGCGGCTGAATTTCGCAGCGAATTCCGGCGGCGGCTCATGACAAACAAGCCGGCTAAATCGATAGGTGCGCCGTCCAAATGTCAGCGACTGCGTACATTCCATGCATACTGAGTGCCATCACAGCGCGGCATTGATCTCATGCGTGCGGCGCGGGGCGACGCGCGCGTTTAATATCCCATGCACTGCACTCACACAGAATAATTAGTTAAATAATGCGTAATTTCAACAGTGAGGCTCCACAGACGAGCAGCTATGAATTATTTGTGTTGAAAGAAGATTATGCTTTTAGGAAAATGCGTAGCGATGGACATATTTTTGCAATGAACTTAGCAAAGTCTTCTACTTCAATGCTTCTACCTCTACTACCTCATTCTATCACAAATGCTACTTCTTCAATACCCAAATCGTTACCATGCTCTCATATGAACACTTTTACAGTAATGAAAGCCTTTTTAGATGGTGAGCAATTTGGATGAAATTCCCGCACCACTAACCACAAATATTTTGAGTTATAGCACTATTCATCGAATCGGACGATTTTTGCCTTTGTAAAGGAAAGCACAGTAAAAATGCGCAGTCTCTTTTTCAATGCTTGCTGCTGTTTACAAGCAAAACAGTATTTTCTGGTAAAGAGGGATAAGGTAATGGAAATTTATGTTTTTGTTTTGTGTTGAACTAAAGTGTTTTTCCGAGAAACTAATGTGACGTACCCAAACTAGTCTGAAATAAAAAGCTTATGTTTTGTTTGCAATTTGGAAGGCTGGCAATAGAAATCGGGATAAATTTGCAGATATCCGATGCTCATGTTTCTAATTCGCAGGCAACATAGCAACTCGCCCTGCTCATGTCCCGAGAGGCTGGAAAACCCAATCATCTGCTAAGCGTGGTGGGCTACAATTTTCCCAGCGGCGAACTAAAGGAAAAGAACAGGAGGGTTTCTGTTGTCTGATCAAGGTAATAAAACATGACATGACTATGAGAGTGACTGGCAATATTAAACGTGTATCCTTGGAGATACCTATATCTTTTAATTAGAGCATAACTTGGCAATCATTCGACATTGTAAACCCTTTAAAGCTGCAATACAACCTATAAGGCGGCGCTACTAGCAACGTCCCGACCATAGCTTCCTGTACGAACAATGACTGATGGAGCCTGTTTTTTTTTTTCAGAGAGAAAAAAACTGCATCAATAATTTGCGAAACGTGGGGAGGCAAATCGTTGCAATCTGCAACAAAAGTACACATAAAGCTACAATTAAGACGCCGTCAAGCTAAATGCTACCCTCATGCTCCAGTTGCACCCAAATAATTACAATTGCAGCTTGCAAGCAACAAGACAATGTTTTATCATGACATTTATGCTGGATCGTTCTGAGCAATCATTCTCATGTTTAGGACACCAAAGTGGATGGAAAATGAGGAACAATACAAAGCGAGTGTCTGTACATTGTCATCCGATCCATTCAGACTAAGAACATCGTTTTCTCAGTTTTTTTTTTTCAAAGGAATTAAGACACTCGCTAACAAGGTGCCATAAAAGTTAGTCAGCTCATCGCTGGCTATTTTATACGCAGCGATATGGCAGTCCGACCCTCACAACCGACCAACGATGTCCGCTGGCAACCGACCAACGTCGGCACGACACCGACGACGCGACTCATGTCGTCGTCGGCGACGGCGGCGCGGAACCGACGACAGCGGCGACGACACACAATCCCGGCGCATTCATGGACCCCAAACCCACCTTCAAACGTCTCCTCTATCGATCCTCTGCGTCCTCAACTCCCACTTTTTTTCTCGTTCGTTCCGTGCCGAGTCTTGCGCCGTGCGGCCGCCGCCTGCAATGGCAATCACTTCCGGCGTGCTCACAGCCGTGCACCAACCCGCGCGTGCAGTGAGCACCCTGCGTGCGCCTCCCGGACCGCCACCCGGTGCAGACTGACGCGCCCCGTCGCCGCCGCAGCCGCAGCCGCCCGCCGCCTCCGCCGCCGACCGCCCCGCGCAACATTGCAACATTGCATAATGCGACCGGTTTGTTTCTGCGGCCGGCGCCGCGCGTGCGTGGGGAGGGGATGCACGCGGGCCGGCGGCTGATCATGGCTGCCGATGGGGTGCGGTACGGATGCGGGTGTGACTGTGGTGAGGGTGGCGAGATGACCGGCAGGATGACCGGCAGGATGACTGGCGGGATGGTCAGGCTGGTCGGTGTCAGTGCGCTGATGGTCTCCGTCAGCATGCTGATGGTCGCTGTCAGCACGCTGATGGGATCTGTCAGATCTCCGGTGTACCGCGGGGCCTGTCAGGTCTTGCGATGCGTGGCCGCCTGTCATTGGACGCTGAGGCGCGGAGCGACATTGTCAGTGTCATGTGACAGCTCGGCCGGTGTAGAACGATGTTTAGCTGCAGCAGGCCATCCGGCGCACTGCGTCGTGCGGCGTGGCGGTTCTACTCGACACCACACTGTTAGGTTCTGTAGGACAAACCGCAGTGTGGTTGTGCCGCACTCAACTCTGCACCGCGAGGTTCCGCCGCTCGCCGAACAGTCTCTGGACCTGTCTTTAGAGGTGCTGCAGCGCGGCTGACCCTTATACGTACCGGATGTTCTGAGACATACCACAAACTTGCAGGGCTCCCTTTACCTCCCTTCATAGACACTATCTCAGATCTGCTCTACTGGAGCTTCAGCGACCAAGAGCCCAAGGCACCTCAGCTTGGGCGGCATGGACTGCCCACTACCCTCTGGATTCTCAGATCCGGGTGGGTCACCACCATCACCGGTCATCACCAGTCACCATGCCATCACCACCCGCACCAGCAGCGATGGCGGCCGCGCGCCGAGGGGTGGTCTCTGTTTACAGAGGCGCCATGCAACAAAGCGGCTCCGGTGCCAGCGCGCGGGCCGCCGCATGGTGTCTGTTGGGGCGTGACCGAGCCGCCGCCGAGCCGCGCCCGTCTGCAACATTGGAGCGGCCACCGCACACTGGTCAGACACACAGACACAAAGAACGCAACCGCAAACAGGCAGCAGTCTCTCGGTACTGGGGTAATGGGGGCGCTGCCGAGAAAACACCGGCATTTCCGGCTGTTGTCATGAACAAAATGCCGGACCACACAGAGACTGAAGCATGGTTGCAGTTCATATATCCATTTTTTCATCGACAAAGTAGGAGCTGTGCTGCATTTTCTTGGTAATCTGGTCTGACACGACTTACGCATTATCGTCCGGCATTCCACTGTCTGCGTTGAAAAATTATTGCAGCATGGCGGCGCTTGACCATCTCGATATCTGCAGAATGTTGATGCCGACCATTTGGAACAATGGACAGTGGCGGATCCAGGGGAGGGCAAATGGGGCAATTGCCCCTCCCAAACGGCATAATTTTAACATTACGCCTATGGACGGTGCATGGAAAGAACCGATAAATTTGTATGGTTTGCCCCTCCCAAAACTCTGAGCTGGATCCGCCAGTGACAATGGAGGCTGTTTTGAAGTAAGCTTTATGTGTAGTGCGACAGTTTGCGAATACTGCGCAGTTTGCGATCGGTCAATATTTTGGTGGCAATATTCGGACATGCATCGGTTTCATCCCAAACGCAGTGCAAATCCCAAGCAAGCACAAACTTTGTTAACTCTCACGAACAAACTACCTTTGGCTATACGCGCACTGAGAAATTAAATACACGTTGCGTGGTTCCGTGTTTCGTAATTATTTCACGATACCCGAAACAACTTTAAAATTTCTATGAAATCACCACATCATCATATGCGAAGTGGCGCATCCTGGCGCTAAGTTCTAAGCCACCAGACGCCTCCAAAACTTGAACTTCAGACACCTCCAAGGCTCCCACTCCTCCACTCCAGTCCTTTGAGATCGCCACGGGCGGCGGCTGTGGCCGGCGTATTACCACCGCAGGCCCTGCATGCGGCTGGTCGGCTCCTGCGCTCGCTCCGACGACCGGCGGTCATGCGTCGTGGGGGCGAGTGGGCGGGCGGGGGAGGGGCCAGTTTGACCTTGGCTGGGAGCGGCAGCCGGCTGGGAGGGGGAGGGGTGGGCTCGCACAGCGTCCGCCATGAGGCCCGGTAAATAACGCAGCCCAGAGCGGCGCGGCGGCTGGCTGCAGTGTGGCCTTGCATGGCGGTCGCCTGCGAGCGGTCCTGCGCCGGGCGCCACGAGGCAGTGGGGCGGGGTGAGGGGGGTAGGCGCTCCCACGGCCAGCACAGCTCGACTAACGAGCCTGCGCGCTGCTACAGAACAATCGCAGCCGAACGCGTCGATTGGCGTCGGGTGACGCCGCGGCCCGCGAGTCTCGATCACTATCACGTGTCAGTTCGGCGCCCGCCCGGCGGCCCCACAGTCTCACCCCGCGACCCCCTCCCCTCCCCCACCGCCCTGCACCAGTCACCTGACGGGCCTGTCCCGCGTGACGTCACTTCCGGTGGCGGTGCGATGGGGCGGAGCCTCGCCGCTTCCCACGGATGGTTGGGGCGGGGCCGCCGCGGCGGTGGGTATAGCGCGGGGCAGCGACGGCGGCTCTGACCGCGGACATACCTGCAGCCTGCATCCACTCCACGGTCCACAATCCACATCAAACCCCGCTCCAGTCGGGTTTGGAGATGCGAATCAGTTCACACGCGCTTCGAACGGTGCGATTGTGACGCACGCCGCACGGCACGCTGCCCGGTTTCTGGTGCAGGCGCGTTTTTTTTTTTTTTTTTTTTTAGTCGATGACAATGTGCCAGCACAGGGGTGTTCTGTCGGCTTTTTCCCGGTTAGCGGTGTCACATCAGGGGTGAAAATGGCCACCTCGCGCTGGACCAATCGAGGGCGCTGCAAACCGGTACACAGACAACGCAGCGACGCACACACTGCACGCGCACCACGAGCCAACACTCAACGGGAAAAGTCGGTAAATCTCTCACCCTGTTTCTTAATCTCTACAAACTAAAAAAAAGAACACTCCTGGACTCTAGAAGGGTTAAATGCTGAATGATGAATCGTTATTTTACTTCTCACACAACACGTGCCTTGACAAGGCACGTGTCTTTGTCAAATAAGGCGATCTTTGTCAAATATGACATGGAAATTTAAAAATGTTTTATGTATGTACCTAACTATACCTACTCTCAGCACTTTGTACTCAACACTTAACTATATCTAAAAAAGTTTTTTTTTACAATGAGCTGTTGTAAAAAAGTTGCACAAGTTTCGAATGAAAATGAGCTTTACAACAATCGGGACTCACCCGTGAGTCGCGCTAAGTTTTCCTTCTGGGATACCTATTATAGTGATTTGTATCTACCCTGCAATAATGCAAGCTTGAGAACACAGGAATATGTGCGTGATTGTGCGTGCCTACATGCGTGCGCTGAAACCATTTGACAATATTCCTTCCTGTAGGGGACATGGTGCACATTATTGTCGCCTTCGAAATGGATATCCATTAATCGTCAGTTATTATCAGCCCATTTTCCTCCAGTAGCACACTATTTTTATACTACAAAGTTATTGCATTTTCGTGCTCAGTCATGAAATAATTGACGAAATATAGCCAGGGAAGCGGATTGAGAGGTCATTACCACATGGGAAACTGTTGCATATTACGTTTCAAATCGACTAATTTGCTCACGAAATATAAAGTGAACTGAACAATAGCTTTCCCTGCATTACTTCCCTCGCGATAAATGATAAAGATGCCAGTTAACTGATTGACCTGAATACAATATGTACAGAAAGGTGCATGTGGTTGATAGCATTTTTTTCCGAAGGTAGACAACAAAAGCATGGGCCGCACAGACGGCGTCAGAAGTTTATTTCCTGATTGCGGTCTGTTTGATGTGTGACGTGTAACTCAGACCGTACCCTGCTGACAGCGGACAGACTGTCTGACCTCTTACCGCCGTGACGTCACTCTGCTAACAATACCAGAACACAACCGTCATGTGACCAATGACCATTGCGGACAGCAGGGAGCTCCTAAACGGGATGGGAGCTGGTTACAAACAATAGATTAGCTGTCAGCAGTGGTAGGGGAGAGCGGGGTCAAATGTAACACGGGGCAATTGTAACAGTGTTAATAATTCATAAACTTACCAATAGAATGAGCTGATGTTAAGACCAGACATGTGCTTGGATCCGAGAGCTGGATCTATGATCTCAGTGGATCTCTCGACAAAATAGAGGAGTTGGATCTATGATCCGAGTGGATCTCTCGACAAAATTCAGGGGTTGGATCTATGATCTGAATGGATCTCTCGACAAAATTTAGGGGTCGGATCTATGATCTCTGTGGATCCAGCGGGCAAAAATTTGTGGAGGACCTATGATCTGTATGGATCTCACGACAACATGTAGCTAATGAAACCCTTATCCTACATAATTGTACACCTTACAGTGCAATACAATTGAGAATTATCACTTGTGGACATGGTTATTGGTTAAGACCACTTGTGATCATTAGGTATCATCATTAAATTTGAATTTAAATAAACAACATTTGTACTACATTTAAAATAAACCAAGAACATGCATATTGCTACTTTTTGTGACCAATTGTAACTTTTTCATGACAGCACTGATGACTATCTTATCAACAAGCTACAGCCACTTTAATTCAAAGAACAAACAGTACAGACAGATGCAGTGGGAGCAGGGCACTGCAGATTTTCATTTTGGTCCAATTCTTTCTGCAACGCCAGTAGGGCTAATGCTAAAATGCCAAAATCTATGGGGGGGGGGGCACTGTACCCTGGTGCCACCCCCCCCCCCCCCCCACCTGTTCTGCCGCCTATGGACAGATGTTAGGAAATCAAACCTGGAAGCCAAATAGGTCAGTTTTGTTAAAAATAATCCAGCAATCCACTTCTGCCAGGTATGAAATCCCAATCCAGAATGTTCATATGAGCTATTAGTATGTGCAACACAATTTCGATTTAGTAAGAATAGCAACCAACCTCTAATACTTTCCTAATAAAATTACAAGTTCAAAAATGGCATAAACTTCTTCAGATTACCTACTTTTGGCCACTTTTGGCGTCGTGCCACGTGTGGTGCAATGCTGTGCTTTTGTTATGAGAGAGCCTCC